GGCCAGGTCAGTAGTCCTGTGGGATGAGCCCTTGCTTTTAACTGCCCGGTTTGTCATGGGTTTCCCTCACCAGCAATCCCTCGTAACTTGGTAAAACAAGAGCTAGGGTTTTATGGGTGCAGTGTGTGTGCAAACCAGACAAAGCGACTGCAGGTCATCAAAGCAAGTATTCTGAACATTCTCGTACAAAGGCACAAAAAGTCACCGCATAACAACGCACAGGATCAGAAATGCCCTTGGTATGTCACAGCCGAGTGTTGGGCTCAGGATCTACAGTGGCCGTGTACCAGGGCAGCTGTTGGCAGAGCACAGAAGTGGAGCTGAATGCAGGGCCGCCGCAGCGATGCGGATGTGCCATCCCAACGAGTGCTGGAGGCTGAATGACTTAGCAGAAAGATCTGTGCTTCTGCTCTGCACCTTCCCCTCCTAGAAGTGGATGGATGCAGGGTCAAGGCAACATGTCAAAAGCAGCTATTGAAGTGTCAGAGCGAGACTTAGTAACTGGAGACTACAAAATCTACCTGCCTAGATGCAAATATCACTTTCATCTAATACCATGAGTGATCCCTCTAACTGAATAGGTATTTATTCAGCTCAATGTCCTGCAGTTACAGCTGTCTAGGTGCCATGTGCACAGATTTTATAAATATGAGCAAATGTGGAGATAGTGCTCTTCTGCTGGAGTTATTTGCAGAGCAATCATGTCCTTTGCCTCCTCTGTGCCTATGATAACTTTAAATAACAGTGACTTGCAGCTCTGCGTGGATTAAAACCATCTGCAAACACCTCTGTTGGTCTGTAAATACACTGAACACCATACACCTCCAAACTAACTCTACAACATTGCGAAGTGTGCAGCGGGAAGGGATGGTGCTCCTGCCATGACAGACTCACTGCAGGGCAGCTGCCTGCAGATGTCATCCCCCGGAGCCCCGCTAACCACCCGCAGCCCCACAGTGAGGCGCCCCCGGTGCAGGAGCCGTGCTATCTGCTGATGCTGAAGGTGAGCGGTTCCAGCCCCACAAACACAGAGAAACCACCAGGCTGCTGCTGCCATTGGCTTGGTGGGGAGTTCTTAACCCTCAAGTCACAGCTTTGGTACCAAGCAGCCACGGCTCAGTGGGAAAAGTGGGAAGGGTGGGAAGAAAACCCAGCAGCAGCACAAGAGCCACAGAGGCTCTGCAAGCTGTAGGGCACGGCACCGGGCTGCTCTGTACCTGGGTGAGCAGCGTGGCCCCCCATCCAGCAGCAGCCATCACAGGCACACCGCTCCCACCAGACAGGCACAGGGCGGGGGACGTGTGGTGCCCCCAGATGGAAGGGGACCGAGCCCTGCCAAGGCAACAAGGGGCCCTGTTGTGTCACAGCTTCCGCACCAGCCCGGGCAGCCCCTCACGGCACAGAGCTGCACCATGGGGAGTGGACACAGGAGGGCAGGGTGCTACTGCTGTGGTTCCCAAGTGCGCTCCCCGCTGTCTCACCCTGCTGGCAAACACCGTGCCAGGGGAACATGGCCACGGAAAGACTTTTGGGACACTGGCCAGGGGGGCCCTATGGTGCCGCCTTTCACTTCCGCAGGTAAGGCTCTCTGCAGGCACCTGCAGGAGCGAGGCTGTAACCTGCCGGCACTGTGTTGCCATGCCAGGCTCCCCGCAGACTTGCCTCGCAGGCCAGTGTCACAAGGGCATGACTCAGTGCTGCACCCCGCGCTGGGATGTGTCTGTGAGGGACGGCCATGTCCCTGCACGTGGCCACGGTGGGCTGCGGGGCTTCGGGTCTGCAGGTGCAGATCGTGACCCGGCCTTTACTTGCTGCCCAGTGAGAGCCGCCGTCTGGAACACCGTGGCTGCCCATATTCGCCAGCAGCTCCTGCAGCACAAGGTGGGCTTGCACCCTTCTCTCCCCCAACCAAGATCTGCCCTGCCACCAGGGTCCTCTGCCCAGGAGACCCGGCCAAGGGAGAATAAAGCTTTATGCAAGTGTGGCCACATCTCCAAGTTGTCGGAAGCTCCTTTGAATGTTGAGTCCCGTGGCATCCCATGGGGAGCAAGGGACTGGCAGCTCCTTGCCCCCCGCTTCCAACAGGGCAGCCTCTGTCCTCACCTCGCTGCTCTGTTGGTCTCATCTGCCTACAGGGCATCCGCATTCCCACCCTTGGCTCCTTTGACACCATCCTTGAGCGGGTGCAGGTTGCAGATGGTCACCTGGCTGTGCACAGACCTGTCTTCCACCTGGCCAGGAACCTCGCTGAAGGTCACCACCTGATGGATAACAAGGCATACATGCCAGGTGAGCTGTCCTATGGACGTGTTCCTTGTAGTGCTGGGTGATGCACGTTCCCCACCACGTGGCTGGGTGAGCAGACCTCTCACTTTCCTCTCCCAGGTTGGAGAGTAACTGATGCTGCTCACAACCAAACTGCTCAATGCTGGCTTTGGTCCCACAGCTGGCTTTGTGTGCCACACCAGCAGCAGCCAGCACCCCTAGAAACCTACCCAAAGAGGGCCAGGCCCTGAGACCTGCAGGACTGCTGGCTCCAGACACTGCTCAGCCCTGTGCCTGCTGCAGTGAGGCATCCTGAGGGCCCGGGGGCTGTGGCATGGCTGCAGCCTGCTGGCGAGTGGCTGTAGAGCTGCCCCATCCCTTCTGTGTGGTTTTCCAGGCAACAAAGTACTGCAGCCCCTGCAGTACACTCAGATAGCCGCAGCCACCTTCGTGTCTCCAAAAAGAGTGGTGGGGTGCATCCAGGCCACCATGTCCCTCTTCTCTCGCTGCATCGCGCAGGGAAGGAACGTCGCACTCATCCTGAGGGATATTGGTATGCTCCTCATCGAAGGTGCCCAAGTGCAAATGAAATACTACCGTGACTTCTTGGAAGTGATGGCAGGGGAAGACACCCTGAAAGAAGTTCTATTGAGAGTAAGTGCTCTGGTTCTCCACAGCGGTGCCGCTCCCTTTGCAGGCCAGCATCTGCTACCAGCCCTTGTTTTTGGCCAGCCCTGACCAGGGCAGCCCCTCAGGCTGGGCTGCAGCTCAGCAAACACCACTCCGTGCTCACACAGCGCCCACTCATTAGGATGGGCTGATGTGGACAGCAGTATTTGAGCGAGGCAGAGCTGCCCCGTGGCAGCAGGCAGCTGGCTGTGCTGCTCATCACAGAGCTCCCCTCTCCAGCCCTGCTGCCCCCCAGCTCTGTGTCCTTCTTGCAGGTCCCAGGGGTGCCGAGCTCAGCGATCCCTCACTCAGCAGCTCCTGCTTCCCTGACACGCTCAGGCTGCATCATCATCTTTCCAGAGTGAGTGTGGATGCCCACAGCCCTGCAACTGACCCTGCCCGGGGCAGCTTCATTGGAAAGCGCTGCTCCCAGTGCACACTTCACACCAGGCTGTGGGAGGGGGCTGCTTCACACAACCCTGGCACGCAGCCACCACTGGGGCAGAGCTCATGGGACACAGACAGGGCTGCTGGCTGTGCTGCTGTGTGCTGCCAGGCCCAGGGTGGCTCTGGGGCTGTTTGAAGGATGGCTGAAGTGGCACTGGGAGCAAATGAGTTCTGCAAAGGACCTGTGCTACTTCACGTCACACTACTGCCTTCTTGCATGCAGGTTTGAACTGCAGTGTGTTCATCACATGGCACTTGGGGGCACAAGGAAACCCATGAAAGGCAGGCAAAAGAAGGCAGCACGGGACAAGGACGGTAATGTGACAGCCAGCACCCTTCCATGCTAGGGGGAACCAACCTGTTCCCATCAGATAAGTAGAGCCCTGGCAATGATCATGAAGGCTCCTAATCAATGCACTGTGCACAGGGTGTGTCAGGAAGCGGGGCCAGAGGCCTGCAGGGAAGCGCCCTCGAGCAGCAGAGCCTCCTCCAGCTCAGCACAGCGCAGCTGGGAGCACGGTCCCAGGAGGCACTGCCGGCCGCCAGGTGGGTGCTGTGCGCCTGGGATGTCTGAGCAGCACTATGGCTCTCTCAGCTGTCACTGGGCTGGGCAGCGTCATGGCTGCATTCTCCTGACACTTTTTCCTCTCCAACTCAGGCCCCCAGGCTGAAAGGCACCTCCCTGGCCATGAGGGCCTTCCCTGCAGCCAGGCACCCAGAGCCTGGGACGAAGGCAGCGACAGGATGAGTGATGCCAGCAGGTGGCTGGGATGCTCAGCCCTGTGCCCGTGCCAGCTGCTGCCCTCACAGTGGCGCTGGGGTCACTGGTGTGCTGCTGTTGGCTGTGTGATGGCACGTGTGTGAAGGTCGGCTTCTTAGCTCTCTGCTACGAAATAAAAATGTGCCTTTGCACCATGCATGCAGCCATGCAGTCTTACTTCCTGGTTTTCTACTTCATGCTAGTCCTACCAGCCCATGTCGTCCCACTGCCATGATCCAGGCTCATCTTTGTGCCATCTGCAGATTTTAGCCTCAAGATCCTGGCTGCCTCACCACTAGGCAGGGATGTGCTCACCAGGCAAGGCAACGCTCAGCGTGGGGACACGGGGACAGATCAACCCTGGCACATCCTGTGCCCACCAGTGCTTGGCCGTGCATGGAAGCCCTGACCCTGCACCAGGAGGGAGCACCTCCACCGGGGAGTAACGTCACCTCCACCAGGAGGCAACACCTGCACAGCCCCACAGCCGCACCTGTGCTGATGTGCAGCAAGAGCTGTGCTGCCACACCCAGCCACCCCTCGGGCAGTTCGGGTATTCAGAGTGCAGTGCCGGCGAGGGCCGAGGGATGCCGGTCTCAGCCGCACAAGGCACCGCTGGTGGCAGCAGCCTTCCCTGCTCGGAGGGCTCTTCCTTCTTGTAAGGAGCTGTTACAGGAATAGGGGCCGCACGCATCCAATTGATTTGAACTCAACCTGCCACCGGTTTCAGCTCCGCAGGAACGCAGCTCTCGCAGCGCAGCAGGCGCTAGGACCCGCCCGCATCCCTCACCCGAGCTGCACGGAGGGACTAAATATAGCGCAGCGGGGCCGCGGGCCGAAGTCGCGCGAGCGGCCGTCCATGGTGGCGGGAGGCGGCGGGCAGAACGCTGCCGGTGCCGGGCACAGCGCGCCCTCGGCCGGCAGCGCCGCAGTGGGCAAAGTGACCGCCTCGCTGCTCATCAGCAACGCCAGGACGGCCCGCGACGCGGAGCTGCTGGCGCGAGAGGGGGTCACCTTCTGCGTGAACGTCACCAGGCTGCAGCCCTTCCCCAGCCTCCTGCAGGCCCGAGGCATGCGCGTGCCCGTGTTCGACGACCCGGCCGAGGACCTGTACCGCTATTTTGAGCAGTGCGGCGACGCCATAGAAGCAGCTGTCAGGAGCGGCGGGAAGTGCTTGGTGTTCTGCAAGAACGGCCGCAGCAGATCCGCCGCTATCTGCACCGCGTACCTGATGAGACACCGAAACCTGCCGCTCCGGGACGCCTTTGAGGTACTGCATTTACACCCACGGTACTCGGGCGGCTTTTGCGCGCTGCAGGCGATGCTCACGGGAGCAACGGCTCAGGGTGGATGTCAGGATAAAGAACGGGCAGCCGTCGGCTCGGGAAGTGGCGGAGTCGCCGTTCCTGGGTGTTAGGATCTGTGGGGTGGCACTCGGGTCAGCTGCTGGACTCGGTGATCTGACAGCTCTTTCCAACCCTAGGATCTCTCGCGGAATTACATCTCGCAGATGTCTTGGTGCTCTGCCCCGTTTATGATCGGTTATTTAGATACTCGATATTTAAATACATTTCAACCATACATTTTTTTTTTCACCCCCTACTTGGAAAAATAAATCCGCAATATCAGCTTTATGGGACAAACAGACTTACAGATCCAAATAGGTTTTAAGCACTGGTAGCAACAGATGCATTCAGGGCTGTTTATGAACATTTTCCCTACCACTTGCTTATTCATGAGAAATGGAGCTAAAGACAGAGATGTGAAGCAGATCAGTGAAAATAAAAGGAGCATTTGGAGAAGTCATGTTGCAGGATTTGCTCTGTAGCTGTTGCATGTGTATCGTCTGTGTGACAGCCCAATGTAGCAAAGAAACACCATCTGTTAGGCCTGCTAAACAGCTAGAGGCTAGCTAGCTGCAAATAATAGCATCTCACCTTCATTAGGATGCTTGTCTAATAAATAGGACAAATAAACAGATGCTTCACAATCTTTCAGCCTTCGCCCACTTGGTTTATATACATACACTGTGATGTCTCTAACACAGATAACTGCTTTGTTTTCAGACATGTTTCACCATCTTTGTAAGAGACATCTGCATTTCCAGCAAACTCAACATCTCCTGTTCATGTCTTGTCCACGAATCCACTGCGTAACAAGGAACATAAGCAAGCACAGAGTGAGGTCATCAAAAACATCCATTTATTATTCCATAACAAAATCAAAACCAAAATAAATCTTCTCAAAAGCCTAAGAAGAAGAAATCAGTTTGCATGATACTTCCATTGCTTCTGTAACGTCTCTCTTTTTTCTAGGCGGTGAAGGCTGCCAGACCAGTAGCAGAACCCAACGCAGGGTTTTGGTCTCAGCTACAGAGATACGAAGAAGATCTGAAAATACCAAAGCAGTCTGATCTGCTGAGCAAAGGACCAAACTCACTTTGAAACACCTCCACACACGGCTGTTTTTAAGCAGCTTGCTGTAGGCCGAAGTAGAAAAAAAATATGACAGTATATATGGCCTGTATATAAAATGCCTGATTGCTACACTGAGTGGATGGCTCCTTACATTCATTCAGATGACTGATGGTGGTGCTTGGGAAAGGAGCAGATAATCAGGGAAAAACAGTAGAAACACCCAACTGTCAGAAGGACCACAAACCAACAGGTAAACAGCATTTGTGTCCCCGCAGCAGTGCTGAATGTGGCAGTGGTGCACTGAATGAACAAACGAGGGGTTTCACACTTGGCTTCCCAGTGATGTTGCTGGAAGAGCTGATGCAAGACACGGAAGCTCTGAGTTCTGACACACCAACTGCTCTGCATAGATTCCGAATTGTTCTTACATTCAACTAGACCAAGAAACCAGCACAGGTTTGCACAAAAAGATACAGGACAGAATATTCAGGTGATTATAAGGAGCTCAGCTCCCACCATGCAAGCTCAATGGCTCCTCTGCTTCTGAAATTACTCTCTAATATTCCAAAGGGGTGATTTTACAAGAAAGATTTGGTTGTTGAGGAACAAAGATGACAGTGGCAACCTAAAACCATTGTCACTCCTTTGGATTTAATTTATTAAGTTTATTATGATCTATCAGTGGCCAAATTCATTCCTTAAAGTGTCACTTTGCAAGTCAGCAGTATCTGTATGCAAACAAAGTGACTAAACTACTCCAAGTGTTTGCAGATTGCCCCAGTGAATGCATCTGTTTGGAAGTCAAGGAAGGACAAGCTAAGGAAGACGCACGAGGTTTCTCATTCAGGCTACAGTCATGGTTTGACACAAGAAAGTAGAGACATACCGAAGTATTTTGCTGAACTATATTAACAAATTCATAATTTAATGACAACTGTGAACCTGCAGTGAGAAATTCCATTTCATGTTGCTCAAGACATCAATATTAAGGAAAATTAGCTCATATTCAACGTCTTAGGTACTTACATAAGGTAACATATGCTCCCAGTAGTGGAGCAGTTTATGGCAGCAATTGTAATGCTGGAACCACGACAGAGAACAAAGCCACTGTGGAATTACTTGAATTAGGCAGTTCAGATGCAATAGGAGCTCCAGAAGTAAAAGACTGCCAAAAATTAAAATACAGTTATTTTAGAAGCTGGAAAGATAGAAGGAAAAAGTAAAAACTGGTGCTATCTTCTAGTTACCTTGAGGCACAGACTGACCAATTGCTTTCCTTGCTCCCAACTGTGTTTGGTTTGTTCTGTAGCATTTACTTTTCATAGCTACAACCTAACCAACAAGGAACTTGTTGCACATCCACGGATACGCAGGTGAGTGGTTGTTTTTAAGGGACTTCTGAAGCTTTTACAAATCTTCACTACACACATAACGTGTATTTCAGTACACTGTGAGACTTGGATTTCAAACCCCCAGCACACAGACTATCTCTTCATTAATGGGCAGGTTACTATGCATCAGAAAGTCTATTCAGTCAGCAGAATGAAGCTTATTTGCTGTTACAAGCTAACGTTCCCAACACTAACGAAAGTAAAACCATTTCTAACATGAGCTGTACTAACCCAGAGGAAGCTACAGCATACCAGTTCCACACTGTTTAGTTAGCTGAAACAGGAAAAGGTGGTCCCAGTTATCAGGGTGTCCCATGCTCTGTGCTTAAATATTGCCAGACTTCTCAGCACGCAGACAGCCTCCATGCTGCAGGATTTCACATCCCATCTGCAGAAACCTATTTCTACTTCAAAGCCATTTCCAGAAGGAGGCGTTCAGATGTAGACCATCTCCAAATTAAGATGAAAGATTGTGACATAGAATGAATCCCTGGAAGGAGACCTTTTTTTTTTTTCCTTTTTTAATGTAAGTTCAAACCCTCGTAACGTTACACATGATGTGAACATGTAGGTTTAGACACACTCCTGGGAACCTGTGACCGTCTCAGCGTTTGCGGTGTAAATTTGCTGCTGCCCGGCTGCCTGGCCTGCTGCGTATCTGTATTTGTGGACACTGTAAATTAAGAAAAAAAGACTTAAAAAATAGGCATTACACACACAGCCATAGCTTTGGGCACTCAGGACGTTACTCATTTAGGTCTGTATCCAACGCACTGATAGCATGTGCTTCCCAAGGGTGCAGCTGTTCAAGGCCTGCTGTTCTCACCGGGTGGCACAACCACCTTTCTCTTAGCCAGGAACCATTTCTGGGTTCCTTACTCACCTGTGCCTTTCTGAGAGGCACTTAGGTCAAGCATCTAAAGCACAACAGAATATAGATTTTAATGCCTTCATGCAGGTTGCAGTTTTTAATACAGGAATCAGAATTATGAGAAAACAGAACCATCTTCAGCTGTCATCCATCATGTTGAGCTTCTCTTGCCTCCATCAGTTCTGTCTGATTTCTCAGGATATTTCAGGATATGTGGTACTTTGTATCAGTAAGATGCAAAGTCAAATCTAAAGTCCAACTTGGCTGATAAAATATTGCCATAAAAGTTCAGTGGCTTCAGATTAAGCAAGGGAATATCAGAGGAACTCTCAATTACTAGGTGTTGCCTAAGAGTGAATTCAGCGTGCTTCTCTCTTCTGTCTTACTATCCTCTCAAGCCTGACAGCAGCTTTCCTTCAAGCTGTTTGGGATCTTCTATGTAGACAAGGACCTCTGCTATTTCTGGCAGTGCGATCCCTCTCCTTGAGAAGGGGACCTTCGGTATGTGTAAAAAATTAAGGATTGGAGGAAAATGCAGGCAAATGCAGGTTAAATACGGAGGCTAGGAACTTTGATTTTTCTGCTTTGATGCACGCTCAACATACTGGATGCAAAATGTTCCACAAGAAACAAGGAAACATCACGTGCTTCTAGCAGTCAACTTGGGGAAGAAAATGCCACTACATTTTCTTCATAAGAAAGGGGTTGGGGCATTTTAATAGTGGTATTACAGGAGATCTTAATTACAGTACACTGTATTCTTTGACACGCTTTTCTTTTGACACGCTTTTTTTTTTCACTGCACGCTGTCATCACTCAGATCTCAGAAGCGCCATCACAATTACCGAAGCCTAGCTATAGGTGACTGCTGACTGCAGCCAATTACCAACAAATTCAGTATTTGGGAGACATCAGTGCCTGGTATGGCATCACCACCCACCACAAGTCTGGGACATTCCAGAGCACTGATTCAATAGGTAGAGTTTCCTGTTTATTTTGCTGCAGATTCAAACCAAGGCAAAAGAGAAAACAGCAAATGATATATAACAGACAGTTACTATTTGAACTGCCAAGTTCAAGATTACCTGTACTTCTGTTTTTCCTTCCCTTTGCACGAACAGGTTAGGAAGATCCCACCAAGCATACAAAGAACAGATCCAGCCCAGCCTAAGTACAGAGCCTCCCCCAGTTCATACCTGAAACACAAAAGATTTTATGCATATAACAAGATCACCAAGCCCTTACTTCAGAATGAGACAGGAAGCACACAAATCATCCAAACAAATTCCATTCTGGATAGATGTCAGCTAGCTGAAAGGTACCTTGGTAGATTACAGAGGAGAACAGGTCTATTTTTGTGTCTGTTCAGTAGAACTCTTATGAGCATATTCCAGTGCTCTGCCAAGGCTCAGGGGAGACCTCATTGCTCTCTATAACTTCCTGAAGGGAGGTTGTAGTGAGCTGGGGGTCGGCCTCTTCTCTCGTGTCATTAGTGATAGGACCAGGGGGAATGGTTTCAAGCTACGGCAGGGGAGATTCAGGCTGGACATGAGGAAGTATTACTTTTCAGAAAGGGTGGCCAGGCACTGGAATGGATGCCCAGGGAGGTGGTGGAATCACCGACCCTGGGGGTGTTCAAGGAAAGGCTGGATGCTGTGTTGAGGGACATGGTTTAGTGGGAGCTGTTGGGAATAGGAGAACGGTTGGACTGGGTGATCTTTTAGGTCTTTTCCAACCTTGGTGATTCTATGATTCTATGATTCTAAATCAGTGCACAACAAAAAGTGCTAAGCAATATAATAAGTAGCAATAAATAGTTGCAAACATTTAATCAGTTGCTGATAATAACGAGAGATGCTGAATCTTAACACAATCCAATAGACCAGTGGGTATGAATAATTTGAGACAGAAAGGGAAAAAGGAAAGTTACATGCATGCTTCTTTACATATGCTGAATTCCATATCGGTGGTCTGGTCATTCGTGGGACTCATCAGCTTTCTCCATCAGACCTTCCTCTTCAGTCTCCACCAGGGTGAGGGTGCCCAAATACTGAAGAACACTAAGAATTACCCCTACCTGGAATTTGGGTGGAGTGCACAAATGTGACAGAAGTAGCCAAGCAAGGAATTCTGTCATATATGAGGCACCTAGAGGAAGGTGTCCCTGCCTGTAGCAGGGGATTGGAAGCAGGTGATCTTAAAGGTCCCTTCTAACCCAAACCATTCTATCATTCTATGATCTCAGCTGACAGAGGTACCAATGTGTTGTGCATTGTGTTATAAAAACTTCCTTCTTAGGGGAACTCCTGACTGCCTTTCCCAGGCTCAGACACGTCTAGTCTTTGAGTCAAACTCTTTATCCATGAATTTCCAGGGCTGGATGGAGGGATTTTCTGGAGAGTCTCTTTCTGTACACTAAAATGGAGAGCTATCCTTTTTCATTCTGGGACTGCTCCTAAATGCAGTTCAGACACACAGAACTGCAGAGTGCTGAATATTCGTTAGGACATGTAAGTTTGTTACAAGACAGCCTAATAAACAGCAGCCTTTTCCCAGCTGTCCCACTAAAAAAGAAGAACGAATTCTATACAAACAGCTGCTTACAAGTGGTCCAGTGTTGTGGCCATAGAAAACTGATTTCTCTGGTTAGCTGCTTCTTATGACAGACAGCAGTGGCAAAGTAATGTCAGTGGCATGGCCAGTATAAGGGCAAGATAACTGTCATGGACCACACAGAAGGTATACTGAGACCAGGTGTGTGGATATCCTTTCTGTTTGTAAATATCAAATCATTACTTAAAAGTGTTTGTTTCTGACTCCAGAACCAGGAAGTTCTGGGGTTTCCCATTGCACACTGGAACCCCAAGCTGAGCTCTGGTCCCCAGTGATTCAGAGACTATGCAACAGGAGAGAGAGATGATCATCATCTCCAAACAAAGAAACAAAGAAACAAAAGGCTGGGGGGGAAGCTGGAATACTAAGGAAGAATAGGAGAGTGCTGACTTGTGCAAGCAATGCTCTCTGATCACTAGCTGTCTGAAGTCAGGAATGTTGCACACACTGTACAATGGAAGGCATATGCAGGGTGTGTCTAGGGGATGACTCAGGTTTCCTTTCATAGTTATATGAGAAATTCCTCTAAGAATCAACAGAGGTCTGAAGTCAGACCAAAAAATGCAACCCAAAAAGCAGATTTTCCACCTTCTTAAGACTGAAGATTAATACTGCCCTGTAATTGAAATTAAACCCCTTTTACACTGCCCAAGGAGGATGAGCTTCCTGAAGAGAACAGAGTGTGGGTAAACAGAGCTTTACCAACAATCAAAGTTAATTCCCTAAGAACTCTTCAGTAAGCTGAATGTCTTAATAGGAAGTGTAGATACAAAAAAAAAAATTCTTCAGCTACCAAATGCAAACAATCTAGTAACTGATTAACACAAACTGATGTTGAAGCCCAGCAACTATAACGTAACTACAAAACTCCATGGCTGTCCTACAAATTGTTCTACAAATTGTTCTGCAATTTCTAACCATCCTTTTTTTTGGTCCTCTCACATATTTATTTTCAGATAATGCTCTCAAGGGCGATTTCTTTGGAAGTGCTTGTTTGGAAACAAAAGGAGAGCAATTGCTTCAAGTACTATGACTCACTAGGAAGCACTTTGCATCCTACCATCCCTGAGCTGATCCTCAAGAGGAAAAGCTTTGAAGCACTTCAAATATTATCCCAGGAATGGATGGCTTATAGTTTACTGATCTAAACATGACGCACTTTGTAGGGGTGTTGGCAAATAATAAATTTCCCCTCTTCAAGCTCTGAGAAGGGAGATTTAGGTTAGATGTAAGGAAAAAGTCTGTTACAGTGAGGGCTTTTATACCTCAAAAGATGTTTGTGTGCAACCTAGGATGACAGTGCCCCAAACCTTGATGAAGTCCAAGATCATGGGCCAATATGACAGAACTGTGATGCTGCATGCATTGATGACAAAAGTGATTTATGTTTTGCATTGTGGACTAAATGCAAAACCTGAGGATTAAGAATACATTTGGTTTTTTCCAACAGGTGGGATTGTGAAAAAAAAAAAGAACAACAAAAAAAAAAAAAAACAAGAAAAAGATTTCATACAGGCGTAAGAAGGCCTTTGAAAATGATAGCAAATCTACTGTTGTTCACTAAATCTGAGTTTGAATTTCTTTGTAATATCAGAGTACATGTGCAGAGGAAACAGATCATCATGGGGACAGACAGGGGTGCAGACAAAGATACAAGAAGAAAGGAATCGTTTTGGCTCAAGTAGATAAAAGACACTTGATAGGAACTTCAGAGTTATTAACTGCAGTTCTGTATTTTGCAAACTGAGTGTCACGAGTTGCCAGCATGAGAGAGTACTCCGTGCCAATAATCCAAGGCAAATTTGGGGTTGACAGACCCCACACACTCACTAAACCTTCCAATGGAGACCTCTCTGCCCTTCCCACCAACAGCAAACATCTCTGAGGTGAAAAATTCCCCTGAAGACAATTTTTCCTTCTTTAGGGCTGCGCACTGGGATCCATCCAGGTTTTGAAACCCTGGAGCAGCTGAGGCTAATCCTGCCATCTAACACACACTAGAGTCTGGTGTTTGGTATCTATTAACTTACTTGGTTCCAGCATATATTGGGTTAAAGAACTGAGCAGTAATCATTGCAGCATACCAAGAAACGGCCACCATCGAACAGAGACCTGCCAGAAAAAAATATCAAAAAGCACACAGCTGAGTGAGTCCTTCAGTGTCTTTAACCCAACAGTAGTGTTCAATTCATTTAGTCTCATTTGACAGCAATACAAAGTACTGACAGCATTTCTTTTTCAGCCTCAGCATTACCTCCTAAAATAAAAAGAAATCCTCCGGTGACAGCAACCTTCATTTTTTCATCCTCATCACTCAGCCCAACGTTTGTGCACTTTAAACCAAGCAGTGAGACCACAGCAGCTACGAATCCCAGAAGGATGGAAATGATCATCAAGGCACGGCATGCCTGAACGTGGACTGAGCGAGACAGAGAAAGAGAAAACAAATAAGGAACCACACAGAAATTAAACTAACCCAATTCTGGCAAAATCTAACAGATCAGAGACAGTGACAAAATTAATAGTAGTAATGAATGAATCTTGTCCAACCTTGTCATTCAGCTCTGAGGAATATCAAAAACGTAGAGGGCTGTATGCAGTCAATCAGAATTCAGAGCTGAACTACACTTACACTGTAAGGCTCAGTAAATCCTCTTAGGAGCTTGAGTAAACCCCCAAAAGCATAGCAAACACTTCACAGCTCACATCCTTCAGTCCTGTGAGAACACGTTGCAGTAGACAAGGTCACTTGCAGGTGCAGGTACACATCTCCAGCCTGTTGGTTCTGGTGATTTCCTTTTACCTACAGACCCGAGTGCACAGGACACCTCTGAATTCCAGATCCAAACCGAGGCGACACTATGGAAGACTGGGAAAACATCCTGGATGGAGTCTGCTTTGCTACTTCCAGTAAGAGATGGAAAAAGCAGGTGCTGGGGTTAGCAGTGTACTTTCTGATACTTTAAATTGAGTGGGTAATGAGCAGGGGATGAGCTGGTCCAAGATCTGCAGCTCGCCTCTCCTGCTGAAGATATTTTTTTGCAGAGCGTGTTCAGCTGGTGAGAGTTTGTTACAGAGCCCGTGACCAGCTACTGAAACATATTCAAAGCTTTCTTTCTGTTTCTGCTGACAATTCTGCATCACTTAAGCTCACAGTTTTTGCACGTAGGTATCAATCACTCAATAACTGGGACCAGTTATTAACCAGCCTAACAGCGAAGGTCAGACAGGGACTTCAGGCTCTTTGGAACAGCAGCCTGAATTTAGTAGGTTCTGGTTCAAATGACACTTAGCACCTTTTTAATGAGATACACGTGCTGAGTGCCACAAGTCTGATGGGTCTTGGCTCCAACAGTGCATAATTAGGGTCTGAACTGGATTAGTTTCTCTTACACACCTAAACTAACCATGCCCTGGCTCATACCTCTGAGAGCTACAAGCTTTTCTTGAAGGTCCCACTATTTGCCCTCACTGGTACCAACCCCACCTTCTTTGCCCAACTGTCCTCTCATCTTTCTGTCCCATTCTGTCTCTTCTAACTTGCTTCTTTTTCAGTTGTCCTCCCCTTAAACCTTTTCTTCTCAGTTTATCTCAGTTCTGCAAGCTGCTTTGTCTTTTCCCTCTTCCCATACTTACTCCTCAAGTATATTGTCACCTCCTCAACAGAGTAACTGATCTCTTCAGTGGATCAAATCTGATCTTCACAACCTCATTTTCAAAGCCTGCCCTATTGATTTACTTTCCACCTCACCCTGTTTTCCCTCTTGCTGACACCATGTTGTTGTTGGTAACTCTCCAAGAGCTTTCTTCCTTTCTTTCTCTTTGGCTTTAGCACTCACAATGCTCTTTTCTGCTTCTCTCAGATGGCTTAAAAACCTACTTTGTCATCAGTAGCTCCAAGATCCTGACCTGATGTGGCCCTGCTGCCTGCATCCACACAAGGGAGCTCTATAGAGAGACAACAACCCGTGTAAATACGTCCATGATGAGATGCTGTACAGACTCGGGGACAGTAAATTAAGAACCAGCCCTTTAAAAGGGTTATAAATGAATCAAGCACATAACTCACATAAGCATTCTGCTGAGGAAAGCCATTATTCTGCTACTGGTGATTCTAATGAATTATGTAGGATGCTACATTCCTCTTAATACACACATGCATTTTAAAGCCAATTTTCAGATCACAATTTGTTAGAAGGATTGTTAGGCAACTATTAGGATTATTAGAAGAACAGAAGATTCCCTAAAAATGGGCACAGACAGCTTCAAAGGACTGCTGTGCATGTTTCAGAGTTGGTCAATAATTTCACACTGAGGAAAAAGTTCAGTGCCTTATTCCCACTGATCCCATGTTCCACATCTGCCAGATCAGGAGTATCTGCCTTTCTGTTTAGTTTACCCTCCTCAGTGTAGATTCAACTAGTTAGGAAGACATTTTTATCTGGGATAAATCTGAAGTATTCAAGATGGATAACAACTAACTTCACTGTCTATAAGCATGCTCACTATCTGCAGATAGTGCCTTAATTCAACACCTGAGGTCATGCTACAATTCTGCTGCAGGCTGATAGGCAGTACAGGAGACAGCAGACCTGAATTTCCTGATATTCAGAATCACATCCAACAAGTAGTTACTAATTTCTAACATGTAAGTTACTTTAAACCAAATACCTGCAGTACTTGTTCCACTGTACACAGTTTTCAATCTCAGCAGGGAAAAAGCAGTACCCACTTTTTGGATAAAAAAAAAAAAAATAGTATTAACAGCTCCTTTATGAAAACAACCTCCAGATAACATTGGCTATCAACTATTGCAAAAGAATGCCCATGCAGTAATTCCATATAGATATGGAGCTGTCAGATGAGTCTTGTCCTTTTTTTTGCAGCCTTTCCTTATGCGTTCCACATGTAGTGCCTCTCAAAGCTCTGTACTGCTTTAACCTGCAAAATCTCTTCTGTTCAGAAGTCAGTGTTATTTTCCATTACAACCAGACTGCCACAACAAAAATCTTGCTACTTTTTTTCCCAGCAATTCTTAAGCAGCTAACAAGACCACGCCAAGTCCCCTACCAGGCAAAGCAAACAGTCAAACTGCTTGCAGTTGGATACTCCGGTGCTGTCATCTGCACAGCTCTTCCACAGGTTTTCACACAACGTAGATGCTATGATCACACTGCCATGGGAGCTGGAGACTCTCCAGTAACTGTGTGGCAAGGCACCTCCAATAAAGGCCCGTCCAACCAAACACGAAAGGAACCCAACAATTTGCAGCGCCGCAGACATGCTTGTGAGTAGTAGCAGCTGAATATCCTTATAATCAGATCAGCATCAAGTGAAGCATTTCAGAAGCCTCCTTGCTGCTTCATCTCTGGGTTTCATTCCAAAATGAGACTACCTTTGCCCTTTGCTCAACCCCAGAGATAAGGCTTACAGTCTATGACAGTAACTGGGAGTTGTTCACGATACAGATATTAACATTAAAAAACTACTAAAAATATTAATTTTCTCATAGGAAGTGATAAAGTCTAGTCTTAGTCTCAGCCTAGAAATTCTAGCCATTATTTCTAGAGAGTACTTTAAGAAAGTCTCTCCTTCTCTGCCATAAACTATGGTGTATATATGACTAAAATTGATTGTAATTTAATCTGCTTAATGACCTCAGATTTTACAAAAAGCTTTCTTGTGTTATTTTCTTTATGACAGAGAGCTTGAGAACACGAACTTACTTCTGATGCTAGAGAATTTAGAATATTTTTGGAATTATGGTCATCAGCGAGCAACAGCAACTATACTGCCAGCTACTTTCAGGAATGTTAAGACTGTGGTTGATTGATTTTCATTAATATTTCACAATTTATCGACCTGTAGTTAAACTATACAGTTTAAATAGACCCACTTACACTGGAATAAAACAGTGATAATGTACAGTCCATGGAAATGAAATATAAGGATGTACCACTGTGACAGACCTATTTCAAAGGGAGTAAAATGATGAAGGAAAATAGCTACATGAGAATAATACATACCAGTTAATTGCAGCTGTCAGAACATTAAAGTATTAAAAATCTATTTCAGACAAAGGAAAGTATGTTAAACTTGGTTTAGTTGCTTCTGCTCTTGATCAAACAAACTTCTAGACTCAATCCACATCACCCACTAATGTTTATAACTTCAATTGTTTGTGTATCCAAGTAGGGGCAGCCATTTCTTGCAATGATAACCTGCTCTTATCTCCAGGCGATGGAGTCACAGTTTATTCATAAAACCACTTTGCTATGACACAGCATGGTAACAGAGTCACAGTATTCCACAAAGACTCCCAAGAGGATTTGCTGTTGAAAGAGCCACAACCTGCCTAAAGCAAATATACCTGTTTTTCCAAAATTCAGTGGTCACTTCGAGCTGATGCCGTAGGTTTGGCTGCAAAAGGATACTACCATGCCACTGTGCTAATTTTCCTTCCTCAGCAGCCAAAAACATCTCTGCCATTATTTTAAATAAAAACAGATTTGGCAGCACAGCCAGAATGACCCTGAGCAGCTTGCAATCTTTCAAAGAAAGCAGATGGCGATGTGTTGAGAATTGATCTTTTCAGAAAGTTTTTCCAAAATCCCCTCTTCCTGCTAAATCATTGCAATTTGAAAATGATAGCACATTAAAATGAATGCATTGTGCCAGTGCATTGGAATATCTGCATCCTGTTAAATGCCCTTCAAAGAGTTTCAGATTAATTTATTCACAAACAAAAGTTACTCTGGTGACCTCAGCAATCACTTCTACTCATATGGCTTCCAAAGTTGAATTTAGTTAGGAATTAGAATCAAGTATCCCTCCTTCATACTGTTGTCAAGAATTAAAAAATAATAATTAAAAAAGTCATTAAAGAAGTTATCTCCTCCTAGCGGCTACTAAAAAGGTGACTTTGACTTGACGTGCACTTGTAAAGCACGCATATAAGAGGAACAGATTAAAGTGTAGATTTAGAATGCACAAGTTTTTCATACACGGCACCAGGCATTTTAATCATTCCCTTAAGGAAGCCACTCTCCTCTAAAGAAAAGAGAAGCGCTGTAGAATACAGGATTGTTGTTCACTAAGTTCCAGTGGTTAGCAGTGAGCTTACCAATGGCACAGCTGTAGCACGTGCATCAGCAGAGCAGAACTGGCATGGATAGCTTCACATCGACACTATGCAGGACAGTTTTAGCCCAGGCTAGGTTCAGCTGGTTGGATGAACTGAACGCCCCCAGTGGCTTGAAGTCATAAGGTGCATTCCTAGGGCACATTTCCCTGCTCAGTTTCATCCATGAGGAATCACGGAATCATAGAATCATTAAGATTGGAAAAGACCTCCAAGATCAGCTTGTCCAACCATCCACCTACCATCAGTGTTGCCCACTAAACTGTGTCCCTAAGTACTACACTACCCTTTCCACAGCTGACTCCATCACTTCTCTGGGCAGCCTGTTCCAATGCTTAACATTCTTTCAGAGAAAAAATTCTTCCTATTATCCAATCTGAACCTCCCCTGGTGCAACCTGAGGCCATTCCTTCTTGAATTATTGCTGTTACCTGGGAGAAGAGGTTGACCCCTACCTCACCACAATCTCCTTTCAGGGAGTTGTAGAGAGCTATAAAGTCTCCCCTGAGTCTCCTCTTCACCTTTCATGAACCCATGCTGGCTGGCCTAATCCCCTGGTCATCCTACACACGCCACACGATTGCCCTCGAGATGATCTGTTCCATAACCTTCCCTAGCACTGAGGTCGTCCTGACAGGTCTGTAGTTCCCCAGATCCTCCTTATGATCCTACTTACAGATGCACGTCACGTTAGCAAGTCTTCAGTTACTGAGACTTCTCTGGTTGAGCACTGACAGATTGTGGAAAGAGGCTTGACAATCAGCTCCATCAGCTCTCTCAGTCCCCTGCATATGCTAGCAACTTCCATGTCCTCTCCCTGAGTTGCCACAGGAGGTAAACTCTTATTTTCCAGAGTCTCACCAAAAGCTCCCCCTTCATCCATGCCAGCCTTCTTCCCCTCCGGGTCACCTAACAGCACAGGGGGGCAGCCTGCTCCTGCACCTGTTCCACTTCCTTCCTGAGGAGCGTACAGCCTTCCTGGACTCATGTATCCTTCAGCATGGACTTCCAAGGGGTTTTCCCTACTAGTGTCCTGAATAGTTCAAAGTCCACCCTCCAGAAGTCCAGGGTAGCAGTTTTTTTGCCCCCTCCCCACCTCCCCCTGACTTCACCAAGAATGGAGAACTCTGCCATTTAATGGTGGCTCTGCCCAAGACAGTTTCTGACCTCCACGTCTCCCATCAGTCCTTCTCTGTTCATGACCAGCAGGTCATGAACCTGCTCATCAGGAAACTGTATCTTCCACAGACTCCACAAACTTTCTAGCCTGCTTCCTCTGGGCTCTATTATATTTCCAGCATCTGTCAGGGAAGTTGAAGTCCCCCATGAGAACAAGGGCTGATGATCGCACAACTTCTGCCAGCTGCTCAGAGAACACCTCGTCTGTCTCTTCATCCTGGTTAGGTTGTCTGTAACAGATCCCCACCAGGATGCCATTCCTATTTCCCTTCTCCTCGATCCCTGCCCATAGGGACTCAACCTTATCATTGCCAGCCGCAAGCTCAACACCACTGAGACATTCTCCAGCAAAGACAGCAACCCTTGTTGCTTGCCTATCCCTTCTGAAGAGCTTACAGCCATTCCCTGCAGCACTCCAGTTGTGGCAATGATCCCACCATGCCTCAGTAAAGGCAGCTGAATCATAGTTAGCCTGCCTCATGACAGGATAGAGGAGAACACCACCCTCTAACCTCCCTAATTCCCTGAAGCCCCTTTTTTATAAACTGTGTCCCTAAGGCTTCTCTCAGTGATTTCATTGCTGCCAACTATCAGTAAAGGGTAATAACTAGAGGGGCAAACCAGACCAGGAAGCTTTCTGGTAAGGACTCTAACCCAGGCCCCAGGGAAGCAGCACATTCCCCTACAGGTAGGGTCTGACCTACACATGGGGCCCTCCGTTCCCCTCAGAAAGGTGTCACCTACAGCAGTTACCATTCTTTCCCTCTCGGTGCCTCAGTCTTGGGGCATGGAGTGGATTGCCTTTTCCTACACAATGTCCGGGGTCGACCTTCCACTGCTTTCTCATTTACCTGTCCCTCGAGTTCCAGAGCCTCAAACCTATTACATAGGGGCACCTGGAAAGGCAGGATAGGTAGGGAGGGAGTTTGCCTGCAATGCCAGGCTGAGACCCGCTTCCATTCCTCCCCATCTCTTAGGCCCCTTCCTTTCCCTGATGGTGATAAGGAGGGAGGTCCAGCACTACTTGGGGTGCATCACCCCAGTGCCTTTCTTGTAGGTAAGGCAGGGAATTGCCCCACCAGTCTGCCTCCTGCTCACCACTCCTTGATGCTCCTTAATCTCTCCACCTTCTCCTTGAGCTATGCCATCAGGCTGAGCAGATCATCCACCTGCTCACCCCTCATGCAGTAGTATCTGCCACTCTCCCATTACAGCAACACACTCAGGCATTTTCTGCAGCTGGAGTCTTGAACAGCTGTGTTTTTGGGTAGGCATCTGGGTTTCTATATTATTTTTGTTCTCTCCAGAACCATTCCACAGTGAAAATCAAGTGCAGCAAATGGAAATAACTGGAAAGTTCGTTACAGTAGTATACACTTGTTGCAAGTAAAACGCTAACAGTCCTACCGAGATCTAGGTAGTATACAGTGTTCTTATAACAGCGCATATTAGCATGCAGAATGATTGAGACAGCATCTACAGGTGGAAATTGTGTCTTTTTTTTTTTAATAGCAGCCAAAAAGAAAAGAAAAGAAAAAAAAAAAAAAAACCTGAAAATATTAACACCTTAAATGTTTGATCAGCAATAGCTTGTACCTTTTTGATCACTTCTGTGTATTTGTTTCAAGAGCTAGGGACGCTGACTTACCCACTGACTGTAAGAAGAGAAACTTGTGACAGAGAGCAGTAACTCTTCCAGGCAGCCACACAACACATCTGTCAGCCGGCACGAGGAACCCTGAGCTGTTTTAGGTGACAGCTGAAGGTGATCCCTGAGCCCTGCCAGCCAGGACTCCTCTCCTACAGTTCTACAGGGAGGGAGGAAGGAAGACATGCCCCAGGGCAGGTGGCTGCTTCATCCACCAGGAAGTCGTCTGTTCCTAGTGAATATTTTCTTTCCATCTTGAGTATAATTAAACTGCATTAAAATAAAAACAAAGAGACTGTCTGATATAGATTCTGCTTGCCTCTCTAACAGGGCTGAGACATCTGTTCCTGCTTGTTAGGTGAGGCAAAGCTGTGATGTCGTCGTAGCCATCTGTTACAGCCTGCTACCCCATACGGGGACAGAAGAACCATTGCTCCCATCCCATCATTCTGCTTTCCAGAAAACACGCCTCAGTTTCCAGATGAATTTTGGGCAAACTGATATCTGCTCAGCAGAAGTCTTGGAGAGGAATACTCTGCCTCTGGATAGCAGAAAGGCAGGAAAAACTGACATTGTCTCTGACACAAAGAGCAGAGTTTTTTAAATCCTCAGGATATGATTTCCTTTCTTCTGAGGCTACAAATTCCGTCCTCAATACAACACGCTAAATACTTACACTGGAACTATTACTAAGAATGCAAATGGGGTCACTGTCCTCAGGGGCCTGAGGAAGAATCACAGAAATCCTGAATCTTGACAGTTTCCACGTTTTTGAGGTCTGCCTTACACTGGTAGGCAGTTCTGACTGCTGTGGAGTCCATGTCTGTGTTAGGAAAGGCAAGTTTTCATAGCCTGTGCTATCTGTAAGACATGCTTCCAGTTTGAGCATTGTGCATTGAGAACAGATGAGCTGGAAAGACTACAGAAAAACAGCAGTGGCAATAATTAGAGATCCATAAAATGGGGAACGCTCCCCATTAAGAAACTATTCATTAGGAATAATTAAGAAATGATTCAGTAATATAACTGACAAAGTGACTGCACAATACTGAAAGCTGAAAACAAATAAATGGAAAGTTCTGCTCAAATCTTACCAAGACACCTGTTGTCCAAAGTTATACCATAACTATTCCCAACCTCCATTTTCTGGGGAAGACTGTCAATCTTTCCTAATCTTTTACCATAAAAAGGGTGTTTATAGAAAAATATTTTACAAATCCAGAATAATCCAAACAAACCACTTTCAGTTCCTAGGAAAAGAATTCTGTTTGCAGTCCAACCGCAGCAGAACATTCTGTCTCAGAAAACACAAAACACATACAGACGTGTTTTATTGAAGCTAGCTGCCTCTGAAAATTTCTAGATCAAACACACAGATTTAGCACAAAGTCAAATCAGTTGTGTAATATCCAAGACCTGTCTCACACTAAAGCACTTACTGACATATTGCCTGCTTGTTGTTAAGAATGAGACCAAGTGAAACAAGTAAAACCAAAACAGACATGGTAACAAAGGCACAGCAGTTACTGAGCTGAATGAGGGGCAAAGCACACAGATCTCTCAAGGGTCCTTTAGCCTGTCTGAAAGTACTGAAGGACAAATCCTCTCCATACTAGAACCTCTGTGCCAACATCAACTATATGCTGTCCAACTGCACCAATTTGCTGCACAAAAGGAAAGAACAAAAATGCATCTCTGGATTTTATATACACAGATACACTTACTCTCTGAACTCAGCATGTGAAGAAACTTCCTGCACTGTATTGCTCCAAAATCAGTGATTCCACAGTCCATCCAGAGGCCTTCGGAAATCCAATCTGAAGGAACCAGCACTGCTGTGCTGCCAGAAATTTTCCATCTGTTGGACATGGTAGTGAGAAGCAAAACGGTGAATCCAGCTAAAGCCAGCAGCAGTGAAAGTATTTGTAGAGCAGATGAAGCCATTCCTCTGACAGAAGCTGTTTTTCAAGAAGCCTCCCACAATTTCTGGTATTATAAACCTGTTGAAACAGTTCATACATGTACAGAATATGGATTTACATTTACAGAAGATGGAAAACATCAGAAAGATGCAGGTACAAACTCTTATATGAGAAAAATGTAGCACTGATATCTAAATCTCATGAAATAACTGGGATACACAAATATTCTAGGACATCTCAGTATTTTCTTAGGAGAACTTTTATTACCATTCATGCATATTTCACAAAACACCAACAAAACAAAACCAGAAGATCAGAATCAGGAATTCTCTATTTCACATTTGCAATGCGTCATCAGTTCTTCACTTGTTTGCTAACTCACATTTCTTTTAAAATTAAAGATACTAAATGCTTTCATAAATTGTCTCCTGATTACAATGCCTATCGATACAAACTTAAAGTGAAATGAATTCTGATACTTACGTTTATGATATGCTTCTGATCTCCACATTTACCTTCCTGCTAGACGGTAATGTCAGCACTCTGTGTGGATCAGCTTGATCAAACAGAAAGGTAAGTTCTGTACTCTTCGGGACCTTTCCCCCCATTCTAAAAATCAAGGACCTGTGGCTGAAGCATTGCCCAACTGTTGCACAAAGGCCCAGATGCACCTTTTTGCTACAACGTCTCAGTGAAATGGACAACTCCACTAAGAAAATCATAACAAAATCATGAGAGTTGCTATTGAAGGTGCCCAGATTAAACAGGCAATCACTGGTATATAATTTGCTTTCTCAGTGCCACTGAGCTGCCCATGCATCAACAGTCTCCAAGAAAAATATTATTACAATTTCTACGATGACTTATTTACTTTACACCTTTGTTGCACTTGTCATCAAAATGCTGTCCTCGCAGAAAGAGCCCTGCATTTATGATAGAACAGGCAAACAATCATAGAAAGCATTTGTTTTGGGATGCAGCCCCCACTGCAATGGAATACAGTGTTCTAGCATGATGGAAAAAAAAAGAAAAAAAAAAGGAATTCAAGCCTCCTCCCATAATCATTCCTTTATAACGTCTGTAACATAATGGAAATTTGTTTGTGCAAATAAGCAGGATTACATTTATCCTGCTCTTAAAAGCATGTGTATTCCACCATAAAAGTTTAATCTGCCATTGGGGAGGGCGTAATTTTCTCCTAAGTGACTGCATAACTTCTTCAAAGCACACAGCTGACAACAGAAAATATGCAAAATAAATCATAAATTTAAATGAAGGAGTAAACTCAAGCAGACTTCGTACCACAGTTCAAGTGATTGTTTCTGCCTGTCATGTTGGTATGAGCCATGTGGTCACAATTCACTCCTGACAGTAGGCAGATGAAACTATAAACCGCCAATGGTGGGTAGCACATAGCTATTAACACAAAGTACTCATCAAAATACTGCAATGTAAAACACTGCATGCTTCAAAGTGAGGAAGCTTAGAAGCTGGATTCCACAAAAAAACAAATGAGCAACCATCCTTGAGCCAGCACCTAAATTCTACCACTTTCAGAAGGACTAGGGACACCACTGCAGGAATCCTTCCTCCACTCTTAAAATGACAGCCCAGTCCTAATGTGCCTACTAGAAGTAACATAACATCCACAAGCTCCACATGCTGGATGCAAGCATTCCTCAACAGTAAAAGGCATATGGGGTCCAAAACTAGGCGACATTTCAATTCAATTCATAGGATGGCTTGGGCTGGAAGGAACCCCAAGGATCACAGAATCACAGAATGGCCAGGGTTGGAAGGTACCTCAAGGATCATGAACCTCCAACCCCCTGCCACATGCAAGGCCACCAACCTCCCCATTTCATACCAGGCCAGGCTGCCCAAGGCCCCATCCAACCTGGCCTTGAACACCTCCAGGGATGGACGGGGCATCCACAGCCTCTCTGGGCAGCTGTTCCAGCACCTCACCGCTCTCTCTGTAAAGAACTTCCCTCTGACATCCAACCTCAATCTTCCCTCCCTCAACTTAGAACCATTTCCCCTCGTCCTGCAGTTATTTGCCCTTTCAAAGAGTTGATTCCCCTCCTGTCTGCAGGCTCCGTTTAGGTACTGAAATGCTGCAATGAGGTCACCCTGCAGCCTTCTTTTCTCCAGGCTGAACAAGCCCAGCTCCCTCAGCTTGTCTTCGTAGGGGAGGAGCTCCAGTTCCCTGACCACGCTCCTGATAAGGTCTCTGGGGAAAAAAGAGGAAAAAAGTAATAAAATACTCTGAATTCCAAAGCTAAAACAAACTTTAAATTAAAAAAAAAATATTTTGGTTTTGTCAGAAAAACGGAGCGCTGACATCACGTGCACAGCTCGCACCGCCCGGGCACGCCGGGAGGGGCCGCCGCACCCAACATGGCGGCCGGGGCCGACCTTCCCAATGTGGCTGCGGGCACGACCGGCACCACGCCCCCAAGAGAGCGGCGGCCGCCCCGGAAGCGCTCGGCGCGGGGAGGCGCCCAACATGGCGTGGCGGTGCTGGGCCCGCGCCTGGGACCCGCGGGCGCATAGGTACTGCCGGGGGGGGCGGTTGGTGGATGCGGCGGCGGTGCGGCGACTGTCCGCTCACTGTCCGCTCTTTCCCCGCAGGCTGACGGTGCTGCTGGAGCAGCGGCGGGGCTTCCGGCGGGCGCGGCCGCGGAGCGAGGAGCCCCAGACCCCCGCCGGCAGCGCCGACGCGCGGCCCGCC